GGTGATCTGGTTGAATGTATGTCAGTGTAGCCTCTGGCTTGGTGATCTGGTTGAATGTATGTCAGTGTAGCCTCTGGCTTGGTGGCATGGTTGAATATATGTCAGTGTAGCCTCTGGCTTGGTGATCTGGTTGAATATATGTCAGTGTAGCCTCTGGCTTGGTGATCTGGTTGAATGTATGTCAGTGTACTCTCTGGCTTGGTGATCTGGTTGAATGTATGTCAGTGTAGCCTCTGGCTTGGTGGCTTGGTTGAATGTATGTCAGTGTACTTTCTGGCTTGGTGGCATGGTTGAATATATGTCAGTGTAGCCTCTGGCTTGGTGACCTGGTTGAATGTATGTCAGTGTACTCTCTGGCTTGGTGATCTGGTTGAATGTATGTCAGTGTAGCCTCTGGCTTGGTGGCATGATTGAATGTATGTCAGTGTAGCCTCTGGCTTGTTGACCTGGTTGAATGTATGCCAGTGTAGCCTCTGGCTTGGTGGCATGGTTGAATGTATGTCACCGAGCCTCTGGCTTGGTGACCTGGTTGAATGTATGTCAGTGTAGCCTCTGGCTTGGTGGCATGGTTGAATATATGTCAGTGTAGCCTCTGGCTTGTTGACCTGGTATTTCAGTGTAGCCTCTGGCTTGGTGACCTGGATGAATGTATGTCAGTGTAGCCTCTGGCTTGGTGATCTGGTTGAATGTATGTCAGTGTAGCCTCTGGCTTGTTGACCTGGTTGAATGTGTGGCTTGGTGACCTGGTTGAATGTACGTCAGTGTAGCCTCTGGCTTGGTGACCTTGTTGAATGTATGTCAGTGTAGCCTCTGGCTTGGTGACCTGGTTGAATGTATGTCAGTGTAGCCTCTGGCTTGGTGACCTGGTTGAATGTATGTCAGTGTAGCCTCTGGCTTGGTGACCTGGTTGAATGTGTGGCTTGGTGACCTGGTTGAATGTATGTCAGTGTAGCCTCTGGCTTGGTGACCTGGTTGAATGTATGTCAGTGTAGCCTCAGGCTTGGTGACCTGGTTGAATGTATGTCAGTGTAGCCTCAGGCTTGGTGACCTGGTTGAATGTATGTCTCTGTACCCTCTGGCTTGGGACATTGCTCATAACATCAATCACTGGTTTGATTCCATTCTAGTTCAGATTCCATGCACTGCAGACCACAGAAAGAGCTACAACACTCTAAATATCTATATCTAAACACGAACACAAATAACAACATGATATATAGGTATTTATACATTTATTTATGCCTGCTCTCAGACAAACATTTCAAGAATCATTTTTACACTATTTGTACAATTAATTGAATAATAATGATAAATATTAGCAGAAGGAAACTGTAAAAGAATAATAAATTCTGGAATGATGTTTGTATTTACAATGAGATCGCTATCAATTTACATGCACGTATGTCACAGTTAGGCAAACAAAGACAAATGAATATAATACAGTTGCTTTAAATCTGGGAGTGCAGATATATGAATTAATAAATATATATGGTAGATAGCGCAAGGCCACAAAATGATAAGATTTTCATCCATTCTTTTCAATAACATGACGTTGTAGGCATTAGAGTGACATTTTAACACAATGTTCCCGGAATCCACGAAACATGGATGGAGAATGGGACTATGTGGTTGCCTTCATGTAAGGACAAAATGAACACACTTAGCGACTTTCCATGTACATGTGACACTTACACTACGTACCCTGGACTGTTTGTTGTGACAGGAGCAAGGACGAAAATTTAATAATTATTTAAGAATGGCCAAACCAGACCTTTTTCTGTTTTGTATGTGACTGATCTCATATTTATTACATGTCAGTGCATTGAATGACTTATGGTTTATGTTACAAAAAGCTGTTTTTCAGCTTTATGGTGTCCCAGAAGCTTCCTGTGGAACAGAAGGCCAAAGTGACAGATGTTGTTGATTTTAACCACTTTAGAACAACCAACAACGTGGGGATTACGCTGACAAACATGTGAATCTGAGTTTCAAACAACAAGCAGCCAGTCAAAAACATGTTGGAATATGATCGAGAACACACACTGTAACTATAAACCATTACCTGGTTATGTTTAGTAAATTGACAACACACTTTATCTGTATTACATATTCAACATATACTAACAAAAAGGTCAAGGACCACCTTGATTATCAAATATTTCAGTATCTAACAGTTCATATTATGATCCATATAATAATTAAATGATAAATATTGGGGTGGTCCTTTACTTTTCTTGTTGAGTATATTATGTTACTCATATTATTTCCAATTTATCTTCATGAGTAGATCCATTTGCAACTAATTTATAAATCCTTAATTGGTATAACCTCTGACTATGTCATGTGTTACCAAGAGTATACAACTATATTAGGCCAAATAAATAACATGTGGTTCCGATTACACCTCTTTAAAATTTAGGGTAGGTAGGTAGGAATTCTTTCTTTTTTTTTACATTTTTTTAGAAGTAAAGTATGAACTAATAACACATTTATCAATGTATAATTGTTAATTCAATCAAGCTTACGGACATCATTTCGACTTTCTCTATCAGAATGACCGATGTCCATTGGTGCCAGGCAAAAACAATGGTATCTGAAAGCTTATTTTATTATAAACTAGGGTCGGCACCAGAATTCAAGGGTCGGTTGGGTAATCGGAACAACAGTTTTTTTTAGGCCTTGGGTTGTTCTTTTCCTGACTATAGTTTTCATTTTATCAATTATTAGTTCGAGTGTGTGTGTAAAAATACTGTTTCTAACACTTTCGAAACACATCAAATAATCTTCCTAACGGTGGACTAAAGATCAAAACACATACATCAAGTTTCATATGATATTCACAATAAAACATGTCTTATGAACTAAACTTTTGTCAATATTACCACTTCTTATACTTTTCCTTTGATATATGGACAATATGTTTGGAGACAATTATTGTTTGCTGTTTTTCATGGTTTGTGCAAGCAGAGACCATGTGGTTTCTTGTGCAAGTAAAGATTTCCTATCAAATGTACATGTGCTTTTTTTTTCTTTTAAATAAAAAATCAAATCAATTTACATATTAAACTCTCTACTTATAAAACCTGTCATGTTTTATCAAATAATTCTAAGTGTTAATGCACATTTTAAGTTGACAAGTATACACACTAAAAATACTGTCTTCTTTATCTTCTATTCTTTTAAGATGTTTTTAATTTTGTTACTAGGCACAAGTTTTAACACAACCATGTTTCTAATATTGTTTATAATGTCATAAAATGCACTTATGATAACTAACTTGTAAGCCAAGACTTGCTAAACACTGAGTCATGCCTAAACAAACAACGTTTAGCAATTTTAAGTGAATCATCATGAAGATATCAAATTACAAAACAATCAAATTTGGCAAATGACATATTAGCTACATTCAGATCTATTCGAAAAAAATCGAAAAACTTCGATGTAAACTTATACAGTTCACAGATAAACTTATACAGTTCACAGATAAACTTATACAGTTCACAGATCTGAATGCACTTCTCAACAGTCTTCACAACCTTAAGATATCCTTGGAAACACTGTAAGAGAAACCAGTGTTAAATGATATATCCAACATGGCTGACATGTCGGCCATCTTGAGAAATGGATCGACTGAATATTACAAAATATGTTAGTTTCCTGGAATTAAGATGGCCATAATCAACAGATAAGGGAAATACCAGGAGGTATTATCCAGGTAATTACACGCAGTGATAATATGTGACCTTGACCTTTCAAGTGACCTTTAAAAACAAGGACGTTCCTATTCATTCAGTTCTGTAAAGAATGGAAACAACAAATAGCACTGAAGAAATCAAGTCATTGAGTGGAATACACCAAATACATGCCTGGTACCAAATAGACACGACTGCAAACAATTCGTTCTCAAAATCAGTCAACAAATTATCAAAGAAAGAATGAGTGAATCTTTCTGTCATATCTTCCCTTATAAAAAACATCAAATTTCTGTTTTAAATAACAGCATCACAATCTGACATTCTAGAAAATCTACATAAGACCCCATTTCGCTCACAACATGATGAACATAAATAAATGAATGTACAATTTCAAAGCTTACTATCAAAATATAAATGACACATTTTCATACAGATCTGTTAAACGCAATATTATCACAGTAGTGTGTTCAAGTATATATACTTGATGAAAATATACATTTGTACATGTTTTTCTTTGGAATGTGCAAGCACAGGTGCGACTAGATATTGGGAAACAGTGGCGAGAAACCAGGACTTCATCTTCATAATCAATCTATAACTTTCCACACAGTTCTAAATACTGACATTTTGAAAATCTTCAAATTACTTATTGATAATTTCATAAGGTGCATAGATGTTTTAGACACCAGTTTGAGATGCTATAAGTCTAACAACTAATGTTCTATATACAAGCTATAAACAAATCATCACCATGATTCAGTAGTTCTGTGACCATGACTATAAAAGTAAGTAGTGCCACACAATCACTGTCTAGTTGTTCATGCATACAAAGAGTGTTAACGATATCTTGATACTAAAAATACTCATTATTTTCTCCCCCAAATTTTTATTTTATTTTTATTCTGAATTAGTTGTCATGAATCAATCAATCATTAGGCAAGCATTGGTACAAACAGAACTATACCTGACCATTCAAAATGATTTTCAACCTTTAAAAGTTCTGAAAATAGATCTGAAGATTCCAATGAATTCCGTCACTAAATATAATCATTTTTATCAAGGATTAAAGCATTTTTCATAATTATCTTCTATCAGTAACAAGGATTAATTTGGATTTCGAAAAATATGGTTATCCCATATAAGTCAGAACAATGTTTTAGAGATCAGTATTAATTAAATACACCATAACTTTATTTTATTCGACCGGGGTGTTTTTTAAGACAAAATTGCAACTAACATCAAAACTTCACAAATAATTAAACTTCAAATGCCTACAGTTTAACAAATGTTAAAAATTGGAGACATCCTTATTTCAAAAATTATAAATCAATCTATAACAATAGCACTTTTGCAGCACTTTTTGAAAAACAATTGTCACAGAATGTTTTTTTCAATAAATAACGTTTTCACATCTTGCTATACACAATAACTTCATCCTTACTAATACATTCTTACTATTTTCAGCAATTGTTTAACCATTTAACAGATTGACCATTGTAACCCAAAAATGAATTGGGATGTGCTAGCTCTAGTTCCCATAGATTCAAATGTATCATTTATATGTAATCATAATCACCTAAAACATTATTTGTCACTAAACGATATTTCCTGTAGTCCATCTCCCCGAACTAACAAAGACTGATAGTTATCTCCCCTACACATCAAACTAACATCAACATGTGCTGGCAAAACTTATTCATGCCTTGTACTATTCTCTTAAGTTCAACTTGGCAAGACATTTTGCAAGACACATGGCAAAAACATTACTCTGTCCAAGTAAAAATATTTCTTTACACCTGGGACAAGTTACCTCCCTTACAAATTGCAACCAGTTCTGGTTGTGATTCAAATCATTGCAGGAGTAACCTCCCCTGTGCACGTTCCTTCAGTCTGCCTGAGGCTTCTTCCAGTATGTCAAGTTAGAACTGGCTTCACTCTGTCGTGCTTTCTTGTGCAATACCTTGGCAGGCAACTCTCACAAGACTTCTTCTCCAACGTTTCTCACTGACCGTGTCAGGCCAGGGTCAACACCACAAATTTGGGACTGATGACGCAAGGGCTGTGTCCAAGTGCTGACCGCGATACAATCAGGATGAAGACATCGCTGGGATAGGATGGTGATATGACAACCATATGTGAGTATAACACCCTCCAGGGGTCAGGGGCCGACGTGTCATACGGTGTTCTTGAACATGATATTTGGCAGTGCATTCCGCCGCCTCCTCCACTGGCCCAGGTCTCGGGTCTGCTGCTTCAGATGCTGGACCCAAAGCCTAGTGTTGCTGCCTTCCTCTGCCTGAAAGTGGACATAATCATCATCATCACTAGCACCAACATCATCATCATCATCATCATCACAAGCACCCCCATTATCATCATCATCATCACTAGCACCATCATCATAATTATAAATATCATCTTCATCACATCACTAGCACCATCATCATAATTATAAATATCATCTTCATCATCACTAGCACCATCATCATAATTATAAATATCATCTTCATCATTATCATCACTAGCACCATGATGACATCATCACCTTCATCATCACTAGCACCAACATCATCAGTACCACCACCAGCACCCCCACTATCATCATCATCATCATCATCATTATTATCATCACTAGCACCACCACCATCATCATCATCCTGATCCTGTCTCCATTTCCTTCCTTTTGTATACATGATTTGTTCTGTTATTGTCACATGTAGCTTGCTGGTTCATGTATTTACTCATCCTACAAAGGCACGGGTGTGATTCCCAACATTTCTCATGTTACTGGAATATTGCGTAACCCCAATCTCACTCACTCAGTAACAGATAGTGTGATAATAAATTCCCATGTTCCCCTGGTAAGGAAAGGTTCAGACCCTATTGTTGCATGCAAAAGTCTACAAAATAATACCAGGTGGTCAGGCTCTATAACTATAATCATTAATTGCTCATGTTTTAGTCAAAGGTTTGCGTGGTCCTGACTCAATATCTAACAGTCACAATGAACTAGCTATACCAACACTGACACAAAACACATTCACCCATGACAGTATGATACTCAACTCTTGACTATTGCCAAACCAGCATAGAAGCACATGTAGGTAGTCTTACCTTAAAGACCAGAGCCTCTCGCCCCCACTCATGGAGTTCAAACACTTCATCATAGTCTTGGTCGACTGTCACCACACACTTGTCCAGCATCAGAGGGTCCTGCAATGAAAACATGAGCCTCAACAACATGTAGTCCAAGTCCAAGGCTTCTTGTACAGAAGCAAGGGTGAGCCAGGCAGTTCTATGGCTGAGTGTTAAAATGAGGTCAGATTTCATCCAAATTAGCATTGTGATATCTTGATGAAGGAAGAGTGAGTGAGTGAGTTTAGTTTTACATCGCTTTTAGCAATACAAGCAATATCACGGTGGGGACACCAGTAATGGGCTTGACACATTGTATGCATGTGGGGAATCGAACCAAGGAATTCAGTGTGACAACCAAACGCTTTAACTGCTATGCTACCCCACCCTTCTAGTGAATGCTTGGTTTTACTTTATGTAAATGTGTTGTTTAAATTTCCCAGAATTCAGGACCAAATAATTGTTTTGCCCAATTTGCCTGCCAAATGCATTTATTTCAGAATCACAAATAGATCCCTGAACTGATGAGAATGGGTGAGTGAGTTTAGTTTTACGCCGCACTCAGCAATATTTCAGCTACATGGCGGTGGTCTGCAAATAATTGAGTCATGACCAGACAATTCAGTGATCAACAGCATGAGCATCGATCTACACAATTGGGATACGATGACGTGTCAACCAAGTCAGCGAGCCTCTTAGTCACCTCTTACGACAAGCATGGGTTACTGAAGATCAATTCTAACCCGGATCTTCACGGGTAGAGCTGATGAGAAGAACGCTAACAACTATCACTCACCCTGACAGGCTGGTACTTCCCATTCTTCTCCCTGATGAGCACCACGGCAGCCTGCTGGACGAAGCTCGGCCTTGGGAACACCAAGTTGTGTTCACGATCTCGTCTCTCATGCTTTGCCTGCACAAATAGATCATACATGTTAAACCACAACACACACTGAATCCTGATCCCGATTATTTTTCGCGTTTAACTGGCCTATAACCAACTCTCTTAGTGCTAAGAATACGACTCCCAAACTTCACCAAAGAACACTTTCAGGAATGGATTCCATGTCAACTTTTGGTTTACATATTATCAAATCTCCTCTTCTCCTAACAACCAGCCCACCTAGATTTTCATAACAAGCACATTTAAACACATCTATCATTATCTTTCTGACAGAGAACTGGTCAGTACTTAAAGGCCAGGGTCAAGTCTGAACCACCATGGCATGTACCAAGCTGAAAGAATTGCTTGCTCAAACAACAGAGCCTTGTTTGAAAAAGCCATATTAGTGCTAGATTATTGTAACTCCTCCTTTAATCCAGACTAAGATGGTTTTGCTCAACTGGCACCAGATTATGGTGATGGCAAGGGAGTAGGGTTAATAGCAAATTCAGAAATATTTCAGCAACATCACAAAACTTTTCTTATCAGTATTAAATCTTCCAATATAAGTTTCTGATTGCAACAGGTAGATAGTTCATCATATCAGTTCCCCATTTATGAAATTATTTACCAAAAATCTCCAGATTTCAATATTTGTCTGCTCTTATGAGCACTATGGTACTTAGAGCTAATTCTACTCTAGGGTATCTTAGCGCTAATGGACAATGCTATCATGCAGCATTCAGTACCCAACAGCAATTTAGCTCACCTGGCCAAGGGTAAGAAGTATTCCATGTATAGTTGTGAACTTGAGATTCTTGCACCTCTTGGCAGCCCAAGTGTGATCTGTGGGTGTGGCGTACAGCAAGCGGCTCGTGATCAGGTCATTTGCCTCCTTCTTGTTCCAACCCAGGACCTCCAGGGCGACCTGAATGAATAACAGTTTCTTATAGCCCTGGATCCATACATTCATTCAGACTTCTCTGAACCACAATATTTTCCCTCACGCCCATCCCCTCCTAACTCACTGGGGCTCCTATTCAATTTAAATGGGATTATTTGTTTCCATCAAAGTTATATATTCAGACACTAAGCATTAGTCATCTATTCATGAGATAAATGCCTTTAGATTCATCATTTGAGGAAAGTCATAACACCAGACTTCAGTTCCAAACAGACTACTGGTTTCAGATATTTATAAACCAACTATTGATTAAAACGAATTTACGTTCCGTATTATCCAGAATAATGATAATAATATCCATACCAAAACAATCAAGTTACGATATTGAAATTTGAATTTAAATTTAAATTAATTCTAAAGACTTGAGTCAAAATGACCTTGAAATAACTTACCCTGTTGACTTCAATCTTCTCGGTAAGGCTGTACCTGCGAGACTGGGAACGCTTCCTCTTAATTCGGAAACTGCCAGATCCTGTCAACTTGGTTTTCTGTGAAAACACAGACACGACAATATTTTAATGCCTGACAAAAATAACCATACTTTTTTATTGCATCACGTGTCCAAAGGACCATTGGCGTCAACCATATCCATTGGAAACGAAATATATCTACTGTCATAACAAACTGGATCGAAGAAGCCCTCAAACAAATCTGATTAAATTATAGATTTTTCAAAAAAACATTGTTTCTTGGGGTTTCAGTGAAATGTCTGTAAAATGTTAGTGCAGCTGATTAGTTTTTTCACAATGTTTCTGACGTCAAGCTTTGATCTAGTTAATGAAAATGCTCAAATCCTCACAGCATTGATGTGCTCTAGAATGTCTTCAATCTTGCCCTGAGCCATCTTGATATCTTCCTTGTCAGTGTGGAGAGACGGAGTGGACTTGTACAGGCGGCTGAGGAGGAGAGGGTACCTGCAACAACGCCACACAAACCCTGAACACATGGGAACCTTCAACTGATTCTATACAAGCCATTTTACTGATACAATTAGTGTACCATATCCAGAGGCCAACACTTTTTAGACGGAGTCCACAGTTTCTGTAACCGTGATGCTGACAGAGTTGGTCTTTATTGTCATGACGTTATAGATATTCATCAGCAATTATGGCACCCTCATCACCAATTTACTGAATTCAGAAATGCATGGATTAGAGGTGGTCCATTCTTTCCTGAAATTCTTTTTGGAATGAGTGAGTTTAATCAGCCATTTCTCAGCCATATCTTTGCCATTTAAGTTCAACACAGGAATAACTAGTTTTGTTTGTATCTTTACTCTCTCTCAACCATTCCTTACTATCAAACGGCCATTCCTTACTATCAAGCGACCCATTCCTTACTATCACTTGGCGGCCATTCCTTACTATCACTAGCGGCATTCCTTACTATCATTCCCTTATCAAGCCCATTCCTTACTATCCAGTGGCCATTCCTTACTATCAAGTGGCCATTCCTTACTATCACTTTCGGCCATTCCTTACTATCAAGGCCATTCCTTACTAGCACTTGGCCATTCCTTACTATCACTCTCGGCCATTCCTTACTATCCACAAAGGCGGCCATTCCTTACTATCAAAGCGGCCATTCCTTACTATCCTCAGCCATTCCCTACTATCACTTGGCCATTCCTTACTATCACCTTCGGCCATTCCTTACTTCATCACTTGCCATTCCTTACTATCACTCAAGCCCATTTCCTTACTATCATTGCCATTCTTTACTATCACTACTATCACTATACTATCGCCATTCCTTACTATCACTCGGCCATTCCTATCACTATCACTCAGAACTATCATTCCTTACTATCACTCGCGGCCATTCCTTACTATCCTTTACTATTCCTTACTATCACTCCGTTCCTTACTATCACTTTCGGCCATTCCTTACCATTACTATCAACTATCAGGCCATTCCTTACTATCACTTCACTCCCATTCCTTTACTACTATCACTTGGCCATTCCTTACTTAACTATCACTTTCGGCACTATCGCCATTCCTTCTTTACTATCACTCAGCCATTCCTTACTATCACTTTCGCCATTCCTACTATCACTCATTCGGCCATTCCTTACTATCACTCACTCCATTCCTTATCACTTCTTTACTATCACTGCCATTCCTTACTATCACTTTCGGCCATTCTTTACTCATCACTCGGCCATTCCTTACTATCACTTCGGCTTCCTTTCTATCTTTACTATCATCACTCCTTACTATCACTATCACATTACTAACTATCACTTTCGGCCATTCTTTACTATCACTTTCGGCCATTCCTTACTATCCTTTCGGCCATTCCTTACTATCACAAGACATTACCTTACTATCACTCACTCGGCCATTCTTTACATTCTTTTACTATCACTCGCCATTCCTTACTATCACTCAGACATTACTAACTATCACTCGGCCATTCTTTACTATCACTCGGCCATTCCTTACTATCACTCAGCCATTCTTTACTATCACTCGGCCATTCCTTACCATCACTCCGCCATTCCTTACTAAAAAGTGCCTCAACAAAAAGATGTGTTAAGAAAGAGTTCCTCACTTCATGATTCTCTGGACCGGCACCATGAGGAAGGACTTCAGATGCATACGTCGCAGGAGGAAGTTGTCACGCTGCATGACCTGGAGGAAGGTGTGAAGAAGTTCTTTCTCCTTCTCGATCTGCTCCAAGGACTGGGAGGCCTGGCCCTAGAAAGGAAGGACACAAATCTGACTCCTTGTCACACAGTCAGCAAAATCTCAGTAATGTAAACTGGGAGCTGTCAGGGGATACTTCATCCAGAATTGGTCTTCAGTAACCCATGCTTGTCGTAAGAGGTGACTAACGGGATCGGGTGGTCAGGCTCGCTGGCTTGGTTGACACATGTCATCATATCCCAATTGTGTAGATCGATGCTCATGCTGTTGATCACTGGATTGCCTAGTCCAGACTTGATTATTTACAGACCGCTGCCATATAGCTGGAATATTGCTGAGTGCGGCGTAAAGCAAACTCACTCACTCACTCAACAGAAATTGAAAGTTTAGTAAATAACTGGAGTTCAACTAGTGTTTGATATTATAAGCAATCTCCCACGCCTTTGGCATGCAATGACTTACTATGAACCACAGCGTCTAACCACCTGACGCCTTTACCTGTCATTTACCATGAGAATAGGTTGAGAACCTAGCCTCTATCAATTCATCTTAAGAACTGCAGATTCAAACAGGAAAACAAAAACATCTGATCTTCATCAAACTTCAAATATCTTGTATCCTAAACCTACCTGGTTGACGCAGTAGTTTTCAAATGCTAGAAACATGCTGGATGACTCAACAAACAGGTTTCCGATACACACACTGGAGAGGTTCTGAAACAAACAAAAATAGTGTCACAAATTCCATTCATTCTTCTTCTTATTATCATTTTCTTCAAATCCAATGATGATGTCACAGCGGAAATAACAGGAATAGGCTCAGGCAAACTGGAAGCCACATCAAGTCTAAATTTAAGACGTGTAAACTCATTTTGTTTGCCTGCTACTGAAAGTTTCTGATGACGATCAGTAACATCCTGACAACTCTGATTCTGAATGCCCATTTTATGCATGTACTGATTACATGGACTTGACAACTAGCTCAACCGACTACTGGTCATTAGTGGGTTGAGCAAGTATTTTAGACACTGACCACTGCAATTCACCTTGGATACACTACCATTATTTATAATCTTGCATAAAAACAACATTGGTTTTGCTTTAGAAATCAATATGATTGTTTCTTCACATCTGCCTGTTATGGTGTCTACAAGGCCATAACATTATTTATTTATAGTTTTAAAAATTGGAAGGTATTTAATTTGATATTTATTTCTGATGTTCAGACTAGAAGATGAATATCAACGTCTGAGCAAGCCATGATAAATCCCTATGAAAAGTCCAGACAGTGAATTTGATTTTACAAACAAAAGTACATTTAGATCTCTTAAGGATATCCATGGGAAAGCTTCCCAACAAAAACATTATCCTTGCAATTATCCAAAGTTTATAGTTATAGACTTACTCAATAACAAGTACAACAAGTGGAAAACCTTCCCTTCATGTTGTAAATGGAAGTGACAAAACCCTTTCCACGTTCACAAGAAATCTCTGCCAAAAGCAGAGTTGATTGTACAGTTGTGCCTATATCATGAGCAGATATTTGTTTCAGCAGTATCACAGCTGTATGATGTTGTTTGTAAACAAATCAGATCTCAACCAGACAATCCAATGATTGTCACATGCGATCTACGATGACAGAGCATGTGTTTATGAATCACTATGAAATAGTGATGATACCAGGTGTTCGCGAAAAGGTGAACTCAAAATAGTATGTATACCTAATTTCTAATTCATATTTACAAAAACATATTTATGTGGCAAACACATCAATCAATCCATCCAAGTGAGCCTATCTGTTTATTCCTTAATCATGTGTAATCCTGACTCCACCCAACGTAACATACACTGACACACTGCAACCAAGCCCATTATGATCTAGACTGATGCGGAATTACTACAACTTATGTTGTTTAAGCCCCACTCAATCAGCTCAGACGGCTGATGATAGAGCTTCCTTCACTTATCACAGTTTCTAGTAATACTTCTCAGTCGATATACATCAGATTGTACCCATCTAATCCTTCATTCTCCCTGTCAACAACATGCACCCGTACTAGTGAGGAGCACTTTACACCTACACTGGCTCACGGTGATGTTGCTGTGGAGTGATGAATATTTATTCTTGTTCTCTTTGTTGTAGTTTAATGCCAGTCTGCATTATTCAAGCCACTATCTGCAGTACTGACATAATATGTGTCTTGCATGTGTCCTGTATGTTTGATGCATGTGTCTTGCATGTGTCCTGTATGTTTGATGCATGTGCCTTGCATGTGCCCTGTATGTTTGATGCATGTGTCTTGCATGTGTCCTGTATGTGTCTGTCATATGTCCTGTATGTTTGATGCATGTGTCTTGCATGTGCCCTGTATGTTTGATGCCTGTGTCTTGCATGTGCCCTGTATGTTTGATGCATGTGTCTTGCATGTGCCCTGTATGTTTGATGCATGTGTCCTGTATGTGTCTGTCATATGTCCTGTATGTTTGATGCATGTGTCTTCATGTGCCCTGTATGTTTGATGCATGTGTGCCCTTGGATGTGTCTTGCATGTGCCCTGTATGTTTGATGCCTGTGTCTTGGATGTGTCTGGCATGTGCCCTGTACGTTTGATGCATGTGTCTTGCAAGTGCCCTCTATGTGCCTTGCATGTGTCTTGTATGATTGATGAATGTGTCTTGTTTAGGTCCTGTACATGTATGGACCTAAGCATGTGTCTTGAACACTTCCTGCATGTGTCTTGCTTATGTTCTACATGTGTCCTGCTTATTATGCCCTGTATGTCTCAAACATTCCTTCCCCCATGTATTTCTCACTACTATTTGCGGTGTCTCATATACATGACCATGTCTAGTCCAGCTAGATAGAAGTAAGATTCACCATGCTAAATAAGCAAACAACTGAAGCATGTAAATTAGAAAACCTATCCTGATCAGATTTCATTTGATGCATGTCCTCTGGTCGTATTTACTGGTCAAACTGATTTGTCTCCTCTCCCAAGTCTACCAGCAGGCAATGAATTATTTCAGTACATCTGTCCCCTATATCCATTCATCAGTCATCAAGCCAGTCCCCGGGGATACTATAAATAGTTTGTCCACGGCTTAGAATATCACCACAACAAATCAGAATCAATACATCGGAAGCTTTTCAGGATCTTGGCATGTCTATATATAGCATGTTATGTTATTGCCATTCCTGCGAGTCTTGTTATTGGTCATTTCCTGACATCCCCATATGATGGTTCCTTGGATGTCGATCGAATGTGACATTTCAATGTTTGGAAACTCATTCTGGGCAGAAGCGAATGCTTGTTGATATAATATTGACAGTGACAAAAGAATTTCATGTCAAATATATCCCTACTCCCATTTATTGAAACTGATGGTAAAAGACAAAGACGTCATGAATATTCCTACCTATTCATCCCAAATGATAATGATTGAACCTCTGTGGCACAGTCCAAGTCAGCCAACTTTGCATATTTCCAAAATGCACAAAATTTATAATCACTCCCTTCAACTATAACTGCAGATTAAATCTAAATCTCATCTACACACACTGTTAAAAGTCCAAATGGCAATGAATCCTGATTGCTCAAACCATGTAAGGTTGTCTAAATAACCACAACCACAATCAAATCAAGCAATCCATCTAACTCATGTAAAATGTGGTTGCCTGTTGTCACATGGTCCTCAAAAGCACTGCACAGAGTTGTGTCCCTTACATGTGTCAGGAACCTATGATCAACATTTCCAGGTCCAATTTGCCTTAAGGTTGTCATCACCACAGAGATGCCAGTGTAAGACTTGAATCAGATCTTGTCCTCCCACGTCAAGTTAGTCTGTCTCACAGTACCTGAACCACATTATTTTCCCTTCTGCCATGTTTTTCTGCAATGCTAAAGCCCTAAACGAAGCAAGTTCATAATTCGTCAAGGTCAGATTCTCCCTTCTCACTGGGCTCCTTTTCAATTTAAAATGAATTGTTTGTTTCTATTAAAAAATAATATATATTCAGAGACTAAGCGTTAATCTAACATCAAGTTGACAAGCTGTGATTCAGCTGAAACACTGTTCAAAGCGACATTAACAGATATTAAGCCGAAACCACTTGCTTCATTACTCAAGCCCATTATTCTAAGACTCGGTGTCCAGTACCTGACATTGTTATTCTCCTCTACCAATCAGATCCAAATCAATGAAATTACAGTCCATTCCATACAATAACAAAAGCAGACCTGTCAAACCTGTCTGTAATGAAATGTAAACAAAATAATAACTACCAGTTACATTAAATAAAATATGATTCATACAGACTGTTATTGGCATTCATTACATTGAGAAAAGACAATATGGATATTTCTTCCGCCCCGTCATGTCTGATGTCATCTGAGTGGAGATAGGGTAGCCTAGTGGTTAAGGAGTTCGCTTGTCGAAGACCCGGGTTCGAATCCCCACATGGGTACAATGTGTGAAGCCCATTTCTGGTGTCCCCCACTTTGATATTGCTGGAATATTGCTAAAAGCAGCATAAAACCAAACTCACTCTCTCTCCCTGATGTCATCAGTTAATGATAACTGCTTTTTAATACTATCTTAGTGAAAAGCGATACTGGCATGTTTTTGACTTCATGACATAATAGCTTTGAAACCATGCTGGAACTATTTGAGTATGCAAGCAAGGTTTTACATTGATTTTATTAAAGAGACATCACAGCAGAGTACACTAGAATTGTGCCTCACACATTCTATCAATATGGAGAAATGAAACTGCGTCTTGGTCGTGATGAACAAAAGCTTTAAGCACTATACCCCATTCATGATCATAGGATACCTATACCCCTAAGGGATGTGACTCCGTCCAGCAAATTGTGGCACCTTAAATGACTTGGCGACCTATGCACCTATAATTTTATGATTACAGTATCAATCTTGCCACTAAAGTCCCCTAAATACAGTAAGTGAGAGCCACAGTTTCGCACAGCTAGGTCAGTGTTTGAAATAGATAAGTAAAGTAGGCGACAATCCAATTACTGTCATCAATTCAGTGCCATGGTATTAACATTGTACACAAAGGCTCCGAGGAAGGCCTGTGTCACTCACTCTCTTGACAATCGCGTACATTGCATGGGTGATATATATTTCATTTTCTAAAACTGAAAACTTTATCGCTTGTTAATTGAGTGTACAAGATTTTTTTCGGCAAAACTCACAGAATTCCATGTTTGTCAAGGTGGTTTGTGTATAATCAAGATCTGATTGACTGATCAGCTATATTAATAACCTCTGTCCAAATAATGAATGTGTATATCACTCAGTGGATCAATGTACATTCATATTTCATTCAAAGCTTCCTGGGGAGAATACAAACCAAGCTGCTTGGTGTCTAAGGTTCTGAATTCAGTCTCATCCTACCGGGTACCCATCCACTGTATGATGACTGTGGTGACAACCTATCCATCTTATCAGTGGGTGAGTTGGGTTTTACACCGCATTTAGCAATATTCCAGCAATATCACAGTGTGGGACACCAGAAATGGGCTTCACACATTGTACCCATGTGGGGAATTGAACCCAGGTTTTCAGCGTAACAAGAGAACGCTGTACCACAAGGCTACCCCTCACCTCATAGGTGAATGACCTTAAAATATGTGGAGAGATTCCCGACAGATAATCTATGGTTGAAACAACAGTGACATCATAGATGTATTACAGCAGACAAAAGCCAATCAGATTTACTTCATACAGCTAAGTTAGTTAGTCTTGCTAACAGCCAGCCAGGAAACGAAACCATGGCACACCATGAATAGAATCAGCAAGACAAAGCAGCCGGTACGATCGGCACGCTAAACATAGTGTAACCTGTTAGGACAAGGCAACTGAGTTCTGTACAATAAAGAGTCTACTAATGAGATCCCGTCCAGAACATTATATAAGACGAGAACCATGACATCAGGCATCTGGGTCTTATATACCAGCTTTACATAACTCGTTTCCCTATTTCTTGTCGTTTGTTAGTAAATTATAAATAACTCCCAATATGGGAGAAGATTCAAACTGTCAGGACACTAGATATAGTAATGAATCTGTTGTTCCTAGTCACTGACTGTGACATCAATGTCCAAAGTGTTTAAGTACATTTCTCAGCATGTTGCAGTGCATTAATTAAGAGTGAGTGAGTTTAGTTTTACACCACTTTTAGCAATATTCCAGCAATATCAGTGGGGGGACACCAGAAATGGGCTTCACATGCATAGTGTGTTGTATACATTTCGACACGTGGCCAGGACCAAAAATATTTTCTTATACCTGTCAGTTCAGTGGGGTAGCCTAGTGGTTAAAGTGTTTGCTTGCCACGCTGAAGACCCAGGTTCGATTCCCCACATGTGTACAATGCATGGAACACATTTCTGGTGTCCCCTGCCATGATATTGCTGGAATATTGCTAAAATCGGTGTAAAACTAAATTCACTCATTATATTAATGTTCAGTATAGTCTACTGTAGTTCCACTTGTCATTATAGAAACTAATGGCCTCATCATCTGTGGCTTGTTGATGCACTTGTGTCCACAGGTGTGTCTGGAAACTCTGAACAGGATGTTCAAATCCAAAATTTACAGCTAATGCGTTCGTTTTTTTAATTAGATTAAGCGGTCTTTTATCGATGATAAAGGACTGCAAAATTGAAAACAGAAATGCTTTATCTCCTAATTTGAACCCATGATCATGTCTTCATTGATGTATGTAAAAACAAAAGAGTTTGAATCTTATATTCTGGTTTGTTAGCACCAAACAATGTCCTAAGGTTCAGCAAGACCTGTGTCACTCTGAATTGGACTTTTGATCAAATTGCAGTGTTGTTGGTGACGTTCCTACCTCCTCGTTGTTGTTGGCGGCAGTGGCCACCTCGTTCTGCAGCTTGTGTAGGAACTGCTCGTTGACCTGTATCAGCTCGTGCAGGTTGGCGAACACCACTTCCAGCTGGTCACTGGTCAGCATGACATTCTGCTTCATTGGTGTGTAGAACTCCTGGAAACAGAAGACATCAGGGTCAATATTCTAATATATGTACACAATAGAGTCAACTAACTCAGGTATTATGAAACTGCAAATTTCTGAGCCTCTTATTTCTTAACAAACTAGTGCATATGAAACTTCCAAGTCATAAAATATCCTAAATGTTGCTTTGAACAGTTCATAACGGCAAGTCTGCTTCTTGAAGGAACAAAGTCTAGATTGGACTAAGTATGTGACTTTTACCACTTGGAAAGAACAAGGAAAGTGGGTATTATTCTGATGAGCCAATGACCATGATCTTACATCTGAACTCTGAACAGGGTATAATGGCATGCATTATGTATGAACAGTGCCATGAACCTTACACATCATCATCATCATCATCACTATTATCATCATCAACATCATCACTAGTACTACTACCACCACCAATGCAACATCATCATCATCATCATCATCATCATCATCATCATCATCATCATCATCATCACTATTATCATCATCAACATCATCACTAGCATACTACTACCACCACCAATGCAACATACCACCACCACCATTGCATCATCATCATCATCATCATCATCATCATCATCATCACTATTATCATCATCATCATCATCATCATCATCACTGGTACTACCACCACCACCATCATCATCACTATTATCATCATCATCATCATCATCATCACTGGTACTACTACCACCACCAATGCAACATCATCATCATCATCATCATCATCATCATCATCATCACTATTATTATCATCATCAACATCATCACTAGTACTACTACCACCACCAATGCAACATCATTATCATCATCATCATCATCTGTTTTATCAGTTGAAATATTAGTACATACATCTCTGAGAATCTTCAGATCTCTTCCATAGCTGATTTCCGTTTCCACTATTTCCTGAATCGTCTCCCTCCTCTCGCTGCGCATACTGAGACAGCAGGGGCAAGGGGGAGGCACATCTTCATCAGGGGCCAGCTGTGGGGGCATCGCCCGGGGGTTGCAGTCAGGGCAAGGAATATTCTGAAAAACAGAAAGAAAAAAACTATTAGTTACACAGCTGATCACAGAGACCATGTGACCCAGGTTCAGAGTGAGACTGCAAACGGGCAGTATTTTCAACCCCTGACTTCACCTAATAGAGTCGATGACCATGTTCACACAGTCTTGACTTGAGTACCTGGTTTAGAGATGGCCTCAAAACCAAAAGGAAAAAAGTCTTCATTAGTTTGGCTGAAGGGGTCGTTGTCGGCATAGGTACTACAGATACGTACCCCAGGTACGTTTCTGTATACAGATATGTACCCTAAAAAAAGTCAAAATACAGAAACGTACCCAGTACCCTAAAAGGCGGACGAGTCCATATTCTGCAATCCAAACCGAAACCGCACGTAGTTGTTCCCGTTCAACTGATTCCGAGTGGTATTCATGTGTATTGCGAAATATCCGTTACTGTGTATTCTCATTACTTACATAATGGACCCGGGAAGGTCCGGGTTAGAATAAACCTGGTCTGGTCCAGACTCGATTATTTACAGACCGCCGCCGTATAGCTGGAACACTGCTGTGTGCGGCGTAAAACTAAACTCACTCACTCACTTACATAACACAATCAAATATACAACAGTATGACAGTTCCGATCAAGAATACGACACAATGCTAATGGAATCATCCTAGGGTACGTTTCTGTATTTTCATTATGGCCAGGGTAGTACCCGTGCCGACGACCCCTTCAGCATTAGTTTGTGCAGAGATTTATGGTCTATAAGGTTTGTGCAATTTGCAACGCTCTTCAAAGAATGGTATTTGTCTTTTTATCATGTCGTTACAAAATGGCCTTCATTTCTCTGAGTCTAACATTATTACTATTCTGTAGTGATGATCAACTGTTAGAGATGCTGTGAAAATGCCATCAAGTATTTCTCTCAAGTGTAATGAAATATTTGGGTTAGAGTTACCTCCCTTTCAGGGACTCCAACCAGCCTGAACTGGATCCACTCAGAAGCAGAAGTCAGGGCCTAATTAGCACCTCTCCTGTTCAGCACTAATATTAGACTCAGATGATCACCTATTTCAAAGTTTCTGTTTCCATCCAAAGAAATCACCCATTGATTCCCTATTCTGGGAGGACAGCAAAAAGATTTACACAAAGACCTGTCTCATCAGAGGTGAAGCAGCATCTCATTAATCATGTCCACAAACCCCAACATTACATGGTAGCTTAGGAAACCATCCACTGTTGTAGATACAAAATAATTGCTGCTCACAACCTTGAACAGCTTGACGTCAGTATCGACCATGAAACATAGCCTTGTCACCTGTTTGGTCATCCGAGGTGAAAAGAAGGACTGCTTCCCTATAATAAGCCTGCGTAATTACATAATGTTGAAGAACATTGGTACTAACCAGACAGAGGCTTCTAAACAAAGAGGACTCTGATTTTCCTGGACGTAAAACAGACCAAGATACATGAACCTGGCGCCAAATGTGGAATTCGGAGATAAGTGTTGTATATTTGCAGAAATTCCAAAATATATGTGGTACTGCTTATAGCACTATCAGATACATTTGAGTGAGTGAGTTTGGTTTTATGCTGCTTTTAGCACTATTCCAATATCAGAAATAGAAATACCAGAAATAGGCTTCACACATTGTGCCCATGTGGGGAATCAAACCCGGGTCTTTGGCGTGACAAGGGGATGCTTTAACCACTAGGCTACCCCACCGCCCCAGATACGTTTGATTGACAAAATAAAATAATTTTGAACAAATTTATCATCTTGACCCATGCATTTCAAATCCATGATTTACATTTTCAAAATAGAATTTCTACTTGATCATACCAATGTCTCACGGACAAAGAACCACCATTGTAACATATTGGTCAGAAACCGCCACACATTGAACAAGCTGTGGAAGGAAAGCTTTGCTACAAAAACTTGACCTTGCATTGTGAAAATTTCCCCTGATGGAAGAGTTAAGAGGTGACAGTTGATGTATGACTTCAGAGTTAATTTGTCATTTTCTTTTACCAATGCCTAATTCTACTCCATGCCGAGTGCTGTGACATTGGTTCTCGGAAATATTCCATGATTAAGATGTTTTGTGACATCAGCGCCATGCAGTGCTGAAACAGTTTACCCATCAATGCCTTAATCAGCAGAACAGGGAATGTCATCAAGGTTCATTTCTGCTGTGATCATTGGCACCATTACCAAAACATCATGATATCATCATCATTACCATTATCATCATCATCATCATCAGTACCATCACAAAAATCCTCAATATTAAAATAGGCATTAGCAGTCTGCGTTTGTTTGTTAATTGTTTAACGCTGCACTCAGTAAAGGATGGTTTGTAAATAATCGAGTCTGGACCAGACAATCCAATAACAGCATCATGAACATCGATCTCAACTGGGAAACGATGACATGTATCAACAACCAAGTCTGACCACCTGATCCCGTTAGTCGCCTGTTACATTGCTAAAAACCTGATCTTCACAGATAAATCAGTTGTAAACTTTATAGCTTTGTGGATCAATAAAGACAGAAGTCTCTTGTAATAATCTATGACATATAAGTTATAGCTAACTGAGGCCATAGACAATAATATGCTATTAGAAAGAATTCAGCTTTCAGTACTGTGAGTTGTATTTCTGAAAAAATCCCATTAACATTCTCCTTGAAATATGACTTCCACAGAGAATGACAGTTCCAAGAAACCATCTCTGGTTATTATAAAGACATTGGTTACACATGTGACATACATTCTGTCCACATCAAGGTCAGGAACTTCATCGAGTTGAGATGTGTATGTGGGAAAAGTCTTCGCACACTTTCTCAACCTGGACATTGTTTACCGTTCAAAATGACCCTGACCTGAGGCTGGACATAGAGGATGTCAGAACTGTAGCACCCAATTGGCAGCAGAAGCCAGAAACAAGGTATGAGGATAAGCTGTCCAATTACTGAGAAACTTGGTGTGCTAATAGCACACTTTTGCCTCACAGAAGATTTCACTCTGGTGTACTGAATGCAACATTACCTAAAAATCGTTAGGTTTTTTTCCCCATTCACATCATATCTTGAGCAATGAATTCCTGCTACAAATGTGTCATTAGGTTCTTTATGTTACTTTCAACACTACACTACTTACAATGTAGATAATGCCATACAGTGTGAATGCCACACCAGTCATAATGTCACAAGTTTGATCATACATGCCCAATATTTATAATGCCACACTAGTCATAATGCCACACTAGTCTTAATGACACACTATTCATAATGCCACACTTGTCATTATGCCACATTTGGTCATAATGACATACTGGTCATAACGCCACACTAGTCATAATGGCACACTAGTCATTATGCCACACTTGGTCATAATGCCACACTAGTCATAATGCCACAAGTTTTTCTAATGCCCAATATTGATAATGCCACAAGTTTTCTAATGCCACATTTGTTATAATGCCACAATTGCCACACTGCCACAAGTTTTCTAATGCCACAATTGTAAAAATTTCACAACTGCCACAATGCCACAAGTTTTATAATGCCTCAGTTGTCACAATGCCACAAGTTGTATAATGCCCAATATTTAAACACCACGCTAGTCACATTATAATACCCAATCTCTATAGGCATTACTAGGTTTATACTGCACAGAGTAATCTAGTATGGAGACTACCATATCTACACTTAATGTTTTTCATGATACTTTCAAAGCTGACTTTACTTAAACTTTTCCAAAGACTTTAATGAACAAAGGAAACTGAAGTCACACACTTGACCTTATTCTCAAAGTAAAAATGTTTGTTGAGAAATGCTCTATTTAGATTTGAATCAAATCATAATTAGCCACCTAAGTTCTTTTGAGAAACTCCTCAAAGAACTGTTGTCATGGTATTCCAAGAAAAACAGACCTTTTAGAACCATTAAATTTTGTTTCATCCTAAATAACTATTTCCATTATGAACAAAACACTGACACATGCTATATGACCTCTATGCAATCAACATAAGTTGTATCTTTACAAACATTACATTTATGAAACAGAATTCCAGCAGAGAATTACGAGACATAGTTAGAGGCAAGACAGGAACTGGGTCAACCATCTTCATAAGGCCGTCATTGCCCCAATTTTTGACATGATTATCTTTGACACTGCTCTGACAGGGGAGGAAGTCAAAGAAAAGCGCCAATGGCAATGGTTTTGATAATGATGACTCAGTGGAAATGAAATAAATGGCAGGGATATCGTGATGTTAATGTTGCAATATTGTCTTGGAAATCCCATTAGAAATAAGACAACTATGCAGCCTTGATGCCTGGCCGGTTTGATGAGTTGACCCACATCTTGTAAATGTCGTAAAATGCCAGAAGCATTTAATCGACTTACGCCACATAATAACGTTAGATCTACACAGGTGATAGTCACATTATAGCATTAGATGTATCGTGTGATATTCACATAACATTTGATCACACTATATGACATTCACATTACACTATAAGTTCTTGGGTGTTTTTTTTCAGAAAACACAGCAGCATAGACTGACTGAGTTCAGTTTTATGCCGCTTTTAGCAATATTCCAGCAATATCACGGCGGGGGACACCACCAGAAATGGGCTTAACACATTGTGCCCATGTGGGGAATCGAACCCGGGTCTTCGTGTGACGAGCGCAACGCAGCAGTATAGAAGGGAAATGTAACTGCCTAGTAGTTTCAATAACTGCTGAATAAAGTTTCTGTAATGTAAGAAGTAATGGTCACCCATTTTTAATAGTTTGATCAGCATTCTAGAAGTTGGAGAGTCAAAAATATTCTAAAAGTGATAGCTTGATAACAGTGTAAGAATCGACATCAAAATGTTGCTCTATGCAATAAACAAGAAGTTGTCATCCATCAAGCTTTATGCTTCATTTTTAACCCATTTTCCACAAAACAAACTAAAAACAACCTTAGAACCTACATATTTAAAGAGTAAACGACTAGAATTTTTCAACA